GACAGACAGACAGATAGGCAGCATCTGGGCAACCTTCCTTGATAGACAGGCATACCTTAGTGTGATTGCTCGAGCAACTGGATCATTGCTATGAATAACTGAGAAAATTCTTTTTACAAATTCATCCACATTCAGGATCTTTTCCAAGTGCTTCTCACTTTGCTGGGTCACTTTCAGAACACACAGCCTCAGGAAGTTGTTACTGTTTTTAAAAATATATTTAATGTGTTTAATTGATGATAATTGTACTGTTTCTTTCCTGATCAATTCCAAAGCAGTTAGCAAACATAATAAAAGAGTATGCATCAAATAAAAAGTTTCAGAATTAAATACCATATTTAAAAATAGTCAAAATTTCAAATCTCCCAACAGAAAAAAATCCGCATAATAAAGAAGGGCTTTCTCCAGTTTCAAGCAGCTTCTTGCTAGTCCTATTCAAAAAAATAACACAGAAGTCCATGAGACATAGAACAGGACCTCCATTGATTATTTTACAAAGAATACAAGACTTAAAATGAAGAAGCTAATCTTCCAGCAATCCTGATTCTAAAGTGTTTGAGGAAAAAAATCACCAGGGATCAAATAGAAAACAACACAGGTACTAGGGTACTAAAATTAAGAAATAAAAAATATTCACTCACCCAACTCTGAAAACATCAGCTAGCTTTAAAAATGCTGAATTAATTAAAATTGGGAATGGATATTTCTGAAAGAGTCTTGGAAAACGGACAACAGCCTCACATTGTTCTCCCAACTTGCCAGATCGAAGACCTATGACAAATAATAACACAGCACAATGCTACAGTCTATAGAAACAACAACAAAAAATCATACAATGTTACAGAGCGTTCAAAATTATTTGTCTAAGGGACAACACATATGACCTGAGCATGAAATAAATTCATAAAACACATATTTAATTCATTTATTTTAAAAATTCCACACAATGCAGTTCATTCATTGAAGAAGCCTGCATAGGATACAATTTTCAGTCCCATCTCCACTGGAGAAGCCCTATGGGAGAAAGTAATATATCACAAAGACCTTTCCACTGCTCTTATAGAGGACTAGAAATAGAAATCCAGCTTTTCTTCAATTGCACCCAACTGGATTACTGTCATGATGCAAAAAGAATTCAGACAACAAAGTTGCCTCTTAATTGTGTAGCTGTACCATTGTGATCACTTTGTTCTAATTGGTGTGTGTGTATATTGATCTTTGTTTTACTCTTTATCCTGCTAGTATATTATTATTTACATGGCTCTGGATTTTAGTTTAGCACAGGGGCATCTATCGGAAAAGTCAAAACCCCAGGGTCAAAATCTACATGTATATAACTGCATATCAAAAGGGATGGAGCAATCACAATGCCATGCATGGCACCTTGCAGATTTTGATCCCACCCCTTTCCTCAGCTTATGTTGCTGCTCCAGTGCATCCTGGGGAGAACGAAAGGGAGATGGAGAGAAAGATGGAGAGAGAGAGAGAGAGACAGAGACAGACAGACTTAGAATTAAATGCTCCTAATGAAATGATTTCTGATAGTAGTACAACAATGGATAACTACTGACCACATATGGAAAACTTGGGCTAGATGTTTGAAAACTGTCCTTTTTATTGTTTATACTTGTGATGAAGGGGGAAATCATTTCCTTATACATTTTCTTTTATCATATTCTTATTTTTTTTCTTTCATCTTTTTTTTCTGTACTTCCTATTTTTCTTTTTCCTAGTTTGTATTAGTTTTTTAATGTAATGTTTAATAAAATTATTATTTTAAATGGCAAACTATCCTGTTTATGTTCTTCATTTTAAAGTTTGGGGCTTAAAATTTTTAAGAGTGAAGTCATACCTTTAAAGAAGCAGGTCATAAACAGAAAAAGAATATAAATCCATAATTCAGTTATATAAATTTGGAGTGATTCAAATCACCCCCAACACTGAGCAGTGATCTTTGGGACAAGACAGTACTTGCTTAATTTTATACAAGCATAGATTAGGCATTTCAATGAAAGTATTCAAACAAAAGCCCAATGCACAACTGTCTGGGATGTTCAATCTAAATTTCTTCAGTGCACAGGGGGGATGACTTGACCTAAATAGGCTCATGCTGCTCTATGGTGAAACAGATATGACTTAATGTCACTTGCACCACACAAGATAGTTGTTGGCTGAGGTAGTTAAATGACTCAGGATGATCAACCACTTTGGAAAACTCGAGTACAGGTAGTCCTCGACTTATGACCACAACTGAGCCCAAAATTTATGTTGCTAAATGAGACATTTGTTGAGTTTTGCCCCATGTTACGACTTTTCTTGCCACAGTTGTGAATCATGGCAGTTATTAAGTTAATTACATGTTTGTTAAGTGAATCTGGTTTACCCATTGCCTTTGCTTGTCAGGTCACAAAAGGTGATCACATGATCCTGGGACACTGCAACCCTCATGTTAAGTCAGTTGCCAACTGTCTGAATTTGATCACGTGACCGTGAGGATGCTGCAAGGGTAGTTAAGTGTGAAAAATGTTCACAAGTCACTTTTTCCAGTGATGTTGTAATTCTGAACAGTGACTAAATGAACTGTTGTAAATCGAGGACTACCTGTTTTGCCTTGGAATGAGAGAGAGTTGAACAAGAAGCTTGTGGCATCTTAAAATACACAATAATAAAACTGGCAATCTTAAAAAGATCACAAGGCTTCCGCTCCGACCTAAAGCAACTTCATCCTTCTGCTAAGCCCCAACAGGACGATTGCGCTCAAAACAAAACGAGAAGGCGGGACTTCCTTTAAAGCACTAGTGCAGGGGTAGGCAACCTTGGCTCTTTTATGACTCGTGGACTTCAACTCCCAGAATTCCTGAGCCAGCATAGCTGGCTCAGGAATTCTGGGAGTTGAAGTCCACGAGTCATAAAAGAGCCAAGATTGCCTACCCCTGCACTAGTGAGTACATTATTCGCGCATGCGCACATCGTGCCACAGGTCCCCCCCCCTCATTTGACTTACCTTTATCCAGTTCCATGAGTGCGGCGTCGGCATTCAATTCCTGCTCCCCGTAGCCGGCATCGGCAAGGAAGGATTTGGAAACGGAAGCCATTCCCAGTTATACAAGAAGGATTCGGAAAGGAATTGTAGACTAACGCTTTATTACTTTTGTTTTACACAGGCACGAAATCGCTTATCCTGTCTCTTTTTCCGTTCCAAACAGTAATTATCTGCGCTTGTGCTGACCCCACGTTTAGGCACCTGCGCAGTCGCGTCCCCGCCGCCAATCCTGCTACGGTAGCACGCGGATTACCCTTTCCGGAAGCTCGGCTATCGAATGAGGAGGAGGTGGGAAAGTGGTTACGCATGCGCAATTCAAAAAAAAAGGACGGGTTGGTTTATAAAACGAATGCCTCGCGTATAAGGGCGTGGCATCATCTTGCTGTGGGATACGGGTAGCCAATAGAAAAGAGGAGGTGTGGCTTCTTGCCGCCAGGGTAGCCAATAAGCTGTAGAAAAGTGACTTTGGCGCGGACTTCGGGTTGGCGGGAGATCTTGCGGAGAAGCTGTTCTTTTCCCCGCGGACTCAGCGCGCGGTGACAATAGAGCTTTCCGCGGCCGGTAGGGATGCTGTGTCGTTCATTAGTCCGTCGCTGTCAGGCCGGACCGCAGGGTAAGTGTCGGGAAGCCCCTCGCTCCTGAAAAGAGCCGGTTTGGTGTAAGCAGTTTAGACGGGTAACCGAGAAGCCAGGGGACTCTGAATTCCAGGCCTCCCTTAGGCTGGAAACCAGCTGGATGAATTTATAAAAGAGAATAATAAAAGAACAACAGAGTTGGAAGGGAGCTTGGAGGTCATCTAGTCCAACCCCCTGCTCAGGCAGGAATCCCTATACCATTTCAGACTNAAGCAATCTAGAACTAAGGAGAAACTTCCTGACAGTGAGAACAATTAACCAGTGGAACAACCTGCCTCCAGAAGTGGTGAATGCTCCAACACTGGAAGTTTTTAAGAAGAGACTGGACAGCCATTTGTCCGAAATGGTATAGGGTTTCCTGCCTGAGCAGGGGGTTGGACTAGATGACCTTCAAGGTCCCTTCCAACTTCACTATTATTATTATTATTATTATTATTATTATTATTATTATTAATTTGGGCCAGTCACTCGGAGCTCAACCCACCTCATAGAATTAATTGTTGTGGGGAAAATAGGAAGGAATACTAGGTATGCTCTCTGCCTTGAGTTATAGGAAGAAGGGGATCGAAACCTAACAACCCTCGCTACTCCTCCACTGGTCTTTAAGACGAGCTTTCTTTTAACTACTCGAGGGAGTGAGGAAAGCATGCCTGCCTCTTCCCTGTTCTCTTTTCCCCTTGTCATTCTGACATAAACAGATAATCCTCCATTCATGAATCATTCATTTGTCAATTAGATTTGTATAGCTGCCCCTTTCACCAAAAATGACTATGGGCAGCCAGACCACGCAGCTAAATGGCTCAGCTCACACACCCCCAACCTGTCCTAATGAAATGAAGGTTAATAGTAGGCAGAATTACGTTGATTTCTGAATCCAAATACTGTATATTGTAGATCTCGTAAAGCACTTAAAAATACAATACTTAGAGGTGGAGTGGATTAAAGAAACATGCTGTACTGCAAACCCATATTTGACTGAATCGTGGGTGAGATCATTTGGCCTACTGGTGCTACATATACTAGCATTTCCATATGACATGATCAGTGGAGACCGAGGATGAGAGAACTACTTAGCCAATATACTTTGAAGGCACCAGGTGGTTTAGGAGACATATGGAGGGAGAATATAATGTCAAGCAGTGTTTGATGATAGATGAAGAAATCTTATAAACCTGCTTGCAGAATTCTCTGCTTTTCAAATATCCCTTTAAAAATTTGCCCTTTGGAATACCCTGCAATGCAACCTTCCTAAAAGATGTAAATACCTAGCTATTCCTGCAAGTCTTGGGGTGATGTGAAGTTGACGTCCAGGGAAGCTCTACAGTTATTTCTAGATGTGGGTATTTGGTGTTTGGGGAAGTTCTTTGTTGGCTTTTATGCTTATTACTGTTTCATTGTTTTATTACTGTCAGTAAAAAAAATTAAAATAAAATTATCTGTCTTATAAATTTCTTTTTTGGTAGGTTTGGCACCAAGATTTTCCTTACACCATCTATTAGGGCAGTATCAGTGTATTAAGGAAGATGACCATCATTCCTATGGAGAAATGGGAATTCCAGTTCCTCCTTTTGGCTGTAGTTTTTCAACAGGTAAAGTGGTTTGTCATTATGTTGGTTTAAAGGTTGACTTTTCTGATGTGATTTCTAATTTTATTTTTCTTTTGTACTATGATACAAAGCCATTATAGTCAATGGAAAAGTAAAAATTATCTGATTTGTAGTCCAAACAAACTGGCACATATTAGACTGAAAAATTTCCTAATCATAAGGATGAAATAACATGCTGGACAATGTTTGGCAACATTCAAATCATTTGGGCTTAATTAAATTGAAGGCTAGTTACTTTGATGCATTAGGGCAGGGGTGTCAAACTCACAATGTCACATGATGTGTTGCAACGTATCGTGACTTTTTTGCCATTGCCAGCAATGGGGTGGGCGCGGTTTCGCTATGATGCATCCGGCCCACGGGCCGGCAGTTTGACACCCCTGCATTAGGGAGTTTATGGTGAGTAGTAAATTATATAGAGTCAATTACTTTTGGAGTTGAAAATATCCTACACTTTTCTTTGCAGTACAGAAATGGTTTGGCATTACATTTTTCTGGGATGCTTTTTGAATTTTCAGCTAGGCTACACCCATCCGTATATAAGTATTTCCATGGCAAAATGAAGAAAATATACACCATCCACCATCAAATTAGCAAATTTTTCCAAATTCAGCAAAGGTAGGAAAGTAAGTAATCTTGGAAAAGTAAAGCAATTAATGCATAAAGAAATTGACTATGCATTCCTCTTTTGAAAGCAGCTATCAGAAGGATATAGAAAAGGAGAACTTGTTTATGTTCATTAGGTGAATTCCCCTTGCTTAATTACAGTATCTGCCAGTCTTTTAAAATAGCTTGTTAGTTATTAAGTTAATCTTTCAAAGTAGGCGATGTTTGTCTATTCTTACAATAATAAGAATAAGGAAAAAATGAATAAAGAATGCCTTTGTATTTTGTGTTTTGTATGATTAACACTTAGAATATATGATAGTAATTTTCTGATGCAGAAAAATTGTGTATTAAAAAGCATACAAAAGGTTTTAAAATACAAATATTACTACATTATTTTTCAGCTCCAGATGTGCAACATGTACTTGGTGTTGCCAATGAAGAGGGATTTGTTAGGCTGTATGATACCCACACACAACTGAGCAACAAGAAAATTGTTAAAGGTAAAAAAAAGTCTTGTATTTGGACCATATAAATTAGATTATTTGATAAAAGCAGTAGCTTGTAGAGGGTTTTTTTTGAATACTGTATTTATATTGTGGTATTGTTCTTTGTAAATTTGATGAAGGTAATAGTCTTCATTTTTCATATGTGGACTTTTTATTACAAAGAATGTGGTTTATTTAGATCTAATATATTTCACTTTCACTTCAGAATGGCAAGCTCATTTAAATGCTGTGTTTGATCTTGCATGGATGCCCTATGACCACAAAATTGTGAGTATTGTAAATCACTATTTGTTTCATTAAATATGGATGCCACTCAATCCTGGATAATGCTATTTCCTTTAATTTTGTTACTAGCAATATATTGTTATGCTTTATCTGGCTCTTAATACTCATTAGTGGGCTTAGTAATATAACAGCTTAGAAGATAAATAATATGACCAGAATCTAGGCCATGCATGAAATACAGAAAGGTTTGGTTTTAATTCAGGACAAACTTTCTATAGTAATATCTATGTTCTCTGGGCTCCAGTGGAAGAAAACACAAAATGCCTTGTGTTTTTTTCGTTCAGCACAGCAAAACATGATAGGAAACCACTGGGAACTTGAAATGGGATCAAAATTCAGATGCTTGGCAAGTGACTCACATTTATGACGGTTGCTGTGTCCCAGAGTCATGTGATCACCTTTTGCGAATTTCTGACAAGCAAAGTTTGGAGAAGCCACATTCACTTAACAATCATGATATTAACTTAAGAACTGCAGTGATTCACTTAATACCTGTGACAAGAAAGGTCGTAAAATGGGGCAAAACCTACTTAACATCTGTCTCATTTAGTAATAGAAATTTTGGGCTCATCTGTGATCATAAATTGAGGACCAGGAGTACATCCAGTCTTATACTTAGATGTCTTTAACCATCTATGTATCTGATACCTTCCAAAACAAGGAATTATATGCACTTTATGTAGGGACTAAGTTCCCCTGAACTTGCTGGAGTTTATTTTTGAGTAAATATACATAATATTGAATTAACACTTCATACATCTATTGAAAAATGCTTCTGTTTCATAAGCTTATGTTAAAGGTATCAATTTTTTGCTTCCAGTGGTAAACTATTGCATTTATTTTCTCTAAGGTTACTGCTTCAGGGGATCAAACTGCAAAAGTGTGGGATATAAAGACTGGTGAACTCTTAGGAGTGTGCAAAGGACATCAGTGCAGTCTCAAATCAGTTGCTTTTTCTAAATTTGAAAAAGGTAAACTTTAATATTCTGTTTGTTAATGAAATTTTGGGTGGGAAATTACTGTAGAAAATATGGAGCATAGGAATTTGGGACTTATGGTATGCACTATAATACCATTATGGTCCCATGGTTACGCCAATGTTCATAGATCATAAATTGTGAAAAAGCTATGCTGCTATCATTGAGGACCTTTTAATGTTTTAGATGAACTAGCAAGGATAAGGTAGAAATCCCAGTCTAATACTCCATCTTTACATTTACAAAAACAATAATTTCTCAAGGTAAATTTTTGAAAAGCTCAAGGTAGAATTGAAAAACCCCTCAAAAACTGCAAAGGTATGTTTTTAGACTACTTTGAAGTATACGATCGAACATCTGCATTTATAAATGTAAAATATGTTTAGTACTTGAAATAATGAGTATTACAAAAAAGAGACAAAAAGTTAGAACATGGTTTCTCTACATTTTTCAACTGTGGCCAACAAAGAAATATTAAGAAAATGAGGCAACCACCTAAACAAATAACCCGCCAGTTATTCTTGTTTTAATTTATTTAAGAGCCATGGCGGCGCAGTGGTTAGAATGCAGTAT